CATACATACATACATACATACATACATACATACATACATACATACATACATACATACATACATACATACATACATACATACATACACACACACACGTGCACACACACATTATAATATACAAACACAAACAAACACAGCCTTAAGCATCTCGTTGTAACTTTTCCATGTCCACCTCCACCATCAACCATGGTGTGAGTTGTGTGACATATACCCTTTTTGCTGAAGCAGAACAAAGGACCAATTTATGTGATTTTTATTTGCAATGAAATAAAAATCCATCAAGCGATTTGATATATACCAAGTACATAGACAAGAGGATGATTAACTTGATAATCTAAGAGATAAAACAATTTGCAACTTCCTCATAATATGCGCAATGAATACATTACCATTTCGTTGTGAAATCAAATACAGAAACATCTGTTTGAAATCGCTTATCCTACAACTTCCAATTGTCAAATTCGATGCAACATTTTTAATATCGCGGCTAGTGACATTAACACAACCATATAAATCCAAATACTCGAGATTCTGACACCCTCAAAACAAAATCAAGCCCTTTGGCTAATAACTTGGAGAATCGAAGTTCAAGGTGATGCAATTGAGGCATGAAGTTCCAACTGTAGCAACTTTGGAGTCCCCATCTTCGAAACACACATTCAGGTAGTCACTAGGTATGATTTCTATGTGTTGTGAAAGGTCCAACCAATTCATCAGGTTATGCTTCACGATTACGAGATTCATGAGATATTTCATAGCAATAGCTTATGCCAAGTTCCCTTGTTGCATTTGTGGGTCGTACTACTAGCTGAGAAAACTGTACCATTACAAACCCCAACCACAACCCCGTTTTCGGTGACAACACCCATCATCTTTGGTTACAACATCATAAATTGGAGATGCAAAATTAGCAAATCCCAAACCCAAAAGTCAAATCGTGATGATGATATTTTTTGTTATGCAGGACTAACGAATCCAAACCTAAACAAATCAAAGACATCCAAACCCAAACAAAAAAACCCAATTTTTTCGTTCAAATCTAGAGGAAGCCACACCAAACCCAAAAATCAAACACAAATCATGAGAAGAAACAATAAACCGATGGTAAAAAATCAAAACCCCAAATTAAAGGTCAACGCGGTTTAAACTGATCTCAAAACAAAACTCCAAATCATTGCTATTGTGTTGATATGTCTTGTTGCTCCTTCTCGATCTTATTTCTCTCTCCCTGCTGCAAAACGAAGCTCAACAATCCTTTCTCTCTCGTTGCTACCGTGTTGATTGACGGAGAAGGAGATGCGAGTGGAGGTGAGTCAGAGGGACCAAAAATAAAACAAAATGATAACCACAACGATTAAAAATGTAATTAGTTTGAAATAGTGACCGAATTTTGAGGGACCAAAAATGTAATTTACTCCATTTGTACACATTTACGTATAATCTTAACCACTTGGGTCTCTCTCTTCTCTCTCGCTCTCTTTTCTCTCTCTCATTCCCCCGGCGTTCTCCGCCAATCACCGCCACTCCGCTGCCAAAAGCTTTGTGATTCCAGTGAAGGTTAGTTTTTAACCAATTCTCCGCCCTCTTTCTCGGTGGCGCTCCAAGAATTTAAGTTTTTTCTGTCATCTGAAACCATAATCTCTTCTTGTTTTCTTGTATGTGTGTCAGCGCGCATGTGTGTGTGTGTGTATATATATATATATATATGATCAATCGAGTGGGGGCTTGCATTTTTGATGAATTTTATGACAGATCTACGAACCAAAATTCGTGTTGAAAGAAGATTGAATTTTTCTCTTATGTTTGTTAGATAATCAATGACCAAAGACGACGATTTTGAATACGGATTTCAGAAAAAAAAGCAAATTGAATTTCTTATACATTGAAAATTCATGATTCCATGAATGATGTTCGTATTAATTTTACTGATTTTAAGTGGGATCTTGGTTTTACATCCATCATCCAGATATAAACTGGTCTGTTAACTGCTACATCAGTTCAATGCATGTGTTTTGAATAGTAAAACACGTCTTTGATAGTTCATCATTTAGATTGATTAAATTCATGTTTTATAACCTCTAATCATGCAGTTATACATATGATGTTTCTGTTTGTTTCTTAGAGGTCGTTTACCAAACACTTACTCGATAAACGCTTACCGGTAAAATTCTACATTATCACTTACTTGCTAGGTAAGATTTTAGTCAAGAAAAACGACATCTTATACAACAATTTACCCGGTAAGCACTTACCGTGGTAAGAATCGTCGCTCTCACTTATAGGGCAAGACTCTTGGATCTTGCCTTGCTCTTACCGGTAAGATTTTTGGTCCTTACTATATTCATCCCATAAGATAATGTCACTTGGTTAGCGCTTACCTGAGTAAGCGCTTGATAAACGGCACCTTAATTAGTGTTTTAGGGATTGATTTAAGTACTCTACTTTTTTATAGAGTTTCTCTTGTATTCTTCTTCTTCATATTTGTTTTTACTTTAAACTAAGAAAGTTGTTTTTAGGTTGCCAAATGCCGACCTAACTCATCTTGCTTTTGAAGGAAATAAACCTAACTATCTAATCAAGCGGGTTGGGTTCCGATGAGAATGGAAGTTACTGTGAAAAACATAGGAAGGGATCTCCACTCTTGAATCAATCCTAATTGAATGTCAACGCTAATGAGGTGAATCAGGATAAATTATCTTCCAAAACGTAATTCATGGATAGATATGAGATTAAAAGTATCAAGGGTTCGGATCTCTTCTTACGCTTCTCACCATAACTTTCATTTTCACACTATCCTTCGCCTTAATCAAGCTATGTTTTGTATAGCTAAAATAAAATGTGCATTTTAGAACGCATAGCTACTTAATTGCACGGCGTAATAAAGTCGTTAATAGAATTTGTAGTTAGGACAAAGTTAGATGACTTCATAAATACAATCAACGAAGTTGGATAACTTAGGAGGACTCGAGAATTAAATTGTCATATCGGAATATTTTAACGACGGAGTTCTCCCCAATCCAAAGATATGATGGTAAATGCTTGGGCAAAAATTCAGTCTTACGACGAACCTGAGAATACTTTTGACAAATGACCGTCGTCTATCTGATGACAAAAAGACATAAGACATATATTCCACGACAAAAGACAACGTCCAAGCTCCTAGCTAATGTCTTATAAGTTGGATATCCATATAAGACGTCCTGCGACGTTCATACTCTTAAAGATAACAAGGAATAGTACGACATAGAGTCGTAGGATACTCTGTGACCGACTTATGATACATACGACAGATGTTGTACGACCACGTCATTTACGTATGACACATACCTTGTCATATGACCATGTTTTATAACTTGGGCCATGTCACCCAAGTTATTTTTTTGATTATTTGCGATTAATTTAATACAACATTTGTAAAGGACGATACTCGTGTTTGGTATCATTAGGGATTAGTCACCGTTGTGTGGTGTTGTGTGGTGTCTACGACCACCTGCGGGTTTTCCCCCTTTTTTGAGATTTTCCGTGTCACCTGATACTTGTGTCTTATCTCTTGTGTATTTTCTTTATGCCCTTCAGTTGCTGGAATATAGACTTCTGTAGTCGTTTTCTTATGTCCCAAGCTTTAAGTTGTCTTGTGCGATTTTTGGTATAAACGATATAAGAATAGAGGTCCTAACTCATGAGGACTGTAATATATACCGGAAATTTTCATTTATCTTCAAAGGCATTTTTGGAGAGCAATCGAACACATGAAATCAAAGCCAAGGGCATCCACTCTAGGGTAGAGATGTCCAAAAAACAGTCCAGGTCCTTGATTTTCTTTTGTAACTGTCCAGTTCCCGACAAAAACCCATGGCCCGGTCTCCATGTCTTGTAAGCGGCCCCTAGAATTGGTCCTGGGCCCAGGTCGGGCCCAAACCGGTCTTAATTTTTTTTCTTCCAAAAATTAGTTTTAAACGTAAAAAAATATTGTTTGAAGATTTTATTTTTTGTTGGACTGTATATCTCATTGAAATACATTTTAAAAATCTCTTACTGGGTCATTCAAATACACTTAAAAAATAATTTTTATTTCTTTTTTACACAAAAATATTATAAATGTTTTTATAATCATGTTTTTTGAAATTTAGTATTGGAACATTTACAAAAACTTGAAAACGTAAAAAAAAATCGAAAATCTTGTAGAAATATTGAAAAACTTGATGTATAATTTATAAAAACTTAATAAAAAAATTCGGCCTAACCGGTCCCTTGAATTTTCATAAAAATCATAACCGGTTCTCAGCTGTCGGGCCCAAGTCGGTCCTTACTGCCCCTGGTCCCAATTGGTCACGGTCCTGGTTCTAAGCCGGGGCCGGGCTGGGACCATTTTGGCCATCTCTAATTCTAGGGACTAGACACTAGCATAATTTGTGACGTTCTGGTTGTTGGAGGGGTGTGTTAGAGTCCCAAATTACGGCTAAACTTGGATCATTAATCCTCATATATGTATGTCGGGACTTGAGATCTTTTTCCGAGAGTAATTTGACGGAGTTTTTCATATTCGACCACCTGTATATGCATATATCGGTACTGGTAATAACTTGTAGCAACAAAAAATAGAACATATCTGATTTCATATGCATTGACTTGATAATCTATGAGCAAATCTTTCCGTGATACGTTGTTTTATGTCTTGTTCACTTGACGATTGAACACTTAACTTTGCAAGAAAACGTAGATCGAATGGCAGAAGACATCTATACGAACGATGGAACGGTTGACATCAACAACGAACGTGCTATCAAGAAGAAAACTGGAAACTGGAAAGCTTGCCCATTCATTCTTGGTAGATTCCTGTACAAAATTATCAATCGCTAATTTTGGGATCATTAACTATTTGCTTGTATACATAGGCAATGAATGTTGTGAGAGGTTGGCATACTATGGAATGAGTACCAATTTAGTGAACTATCTCCAAGATCGTCTTAACCAAGGAACCGTACGTGCATCTACCACTGTTACGAATTGGCAAGGAACGTGCTACGTCACACCGTTGCTAGGGGCTTTCTTAGCCGATGCATACTTGGGACGATACTGGACGATTGCTGGTTTCTCCATCATCTACTTCTTTGTAAGTCTGTCTTCTTTCTATATATATATAACTTTGCTTGTTCTCACTACAACAAAAACGACTTTCTGGAACGTTAAATGTGTTTAAATGTTCTAACTAATTACTTTGTATTACGTAAGTTTATCGAACAAACAATTGTGCGTTATGTGTAAAAGTGTTACACTAAGTTGATAGAATGCTTTTAGACGTAATCGTAATAAATTGTTATGGACACTTTTGGAATAAAGTGTCAGGTTTCAAAAATTCCAATTATTTTCGCTTTTGAAAACACCCTCCTAATCCTTGGTGGAATTGTGTAGGGAATGACACTCTTAACACTATCAGCTTCCGTGAAGGGACTAAAGCCGACCTGCGACCCCGGTGGTTGCCACCCAACATCGACTCAAACTGCATTCACCTTTGTAGCTCTCTACTTGATTGCCTTAGGAACTGGTGGCATCAAACCATGTGTTTCATCTTTCGGGGCTGATCAATTCGATGAAACCGATAAATCCGAGAGAAAAAGGAAGAGTTCGTTCTTCAATTGGTTCTATCTTTCCATCAACGTAGGTGCGCTTTTTGCATCATCGATATTGGTTTGGATTCAAATGAATGTAGGCTGGGGATGGGGGTTTGGTGTCCCAGCCGTGGCCATGGCTCTAGCCGTTGCCTTTTTCTTCTCCGGGAGTCGTTTGTATCGGCTTCAAAAACCTTCGGGAAGTCCTATAGTTAGGCTTTGTCAAGTAATAGTTGCATCACTGCGAAAGTTTAATGTCAAAGTCCCCAATGATAAGTCCCTTCTTTACGAGACTTCTGATGCAGAAAGCCAGATCGTTGGAAGCCGCAAGCTTGAGCACACCGATAAATTCAGGTACTACATATCGATCAAAAACATCATTACAACAAAATAAAGGCTTTTAGGATGTCAAAAATCTAAAATGTCCTCATAGACTACCTCAAAAGACTTGTGTAAATGATGGATAAAATTATGCAGGTTTTTTGACAAGGCTGCAGTGGAGACAGGTTTGGAGGATACCAAGAACTTCAGCAATCACTGGAGACTATGCACAGTGACACAAGTCGAAGAGCTGAAATCGATCATCAGAATCCTCCCCATTTGGGCATCTGGGATCGTATTTGCTGCAGTTTACAGCCAAATGAGCACCATGTTCGTCCTCCAAGGAAACACCATGGACCAACACATTGGACCCAACTTCAAGATTCCATCTGCTTCTCTTTCGCTTTTCGACACCCTTAGTGTCATCTTCTGGGCTCCAGTCTACGAACGTGTCATCATCCCTACCGCCAGAAAGTACACCCGCCATGAACGAGGCTTCACACAGCTCCAACGAATGGGCATCGGCCTCGGGATCTCCCTATTTGCCATGATCGCCGCCGGAACTTTGGAGGTGATTCGACTAAACTACGTCCGGCAGCACAACCTGTATGAAGTTGAAACAATCCCGATGACTATCTTCTGGCAAGTTCCTCAGTATTTCTTGATTGGGTGTGCTGAGGTGTTTACGTTCATTGGGCAACTGGAGTTTTTTTACGATCAGGCGCCAGACGCAATGAGGAGCTTGTGTGCGGCGCTGTCGCTGACGACGGTGGCTCTGGGGAACTACTTGAGCACGGTGCTGGTGACAGTGGTGGCGAAGGTGACGACGAAGAACGGAAAGATGGGGTGGATACCGGATAATTTGAACAAAGGGCATCTGGATTATTTCTACTGGCTTTTAGCAGTTCTGAGCTTGTTGAATATGATGGTTTATGTGGCGATTGCAAAGTGGTACACTTACAAGAAGGTTAGTGGGTTCCCAAATCGAGGGTGATCGATCGGTTCGTATTTTGAAGTCGTGTGTTTGTAATTAATGTTGGCTGGATGTTTCTATGGTTTCTTGAAGATTCATGAGTCTGCGTCATGCCGAGAGTTTTAATTGTGGTTTTTAGCAGGATTTGAATTCCTGTTTTTGTGTTTTTCAATTTCCAATTTATAATGTCGGTTTACTATTTTACGTTTGACACGATATATGGAACCGGAATTGGGTGGGTTTGGATGGGAAAACAAAGACTCTTTTCGTTCCGCTTATTTGGGACAAAGACAGACAAAACTACAAATTTATCAATCTGTGCTCTTTTAATTAACCCTAGTATGATATTTGGTTTAATGGTCACCACCGTTTGACCCCATGGAGGACGACCACTGTTGGACGTTGTTGACGAACTCCATGTTACCACCTCTATGACTGCTATCACTACGTACAACAAAATTAGGTTTATAGAACACAAAATTATATATCTAAGTGTCTCGATTGACTATTTTATAGGATATAAGTTTATAGAACCAAAAAATAAAACCTTCCATTTGAAGATGTTGCACTAGGCTTGTAGGATCCTTTTGGACTTCTTAACAAGTTTTTAGGACATTTTTAAATTAGAATGTTCTATTAAATATTTTATAGGATGCTATTTGAAGAAGTGCCTTATAGACACAAGTAATTCTATAAAAAGATGTATTTATAGGACATTTTCCAAAGTGTCTTATAAAATAACTAATACGATTCTTTATTTTAAAAATGTAAATGCGTCCTATAAATTTATTACAACTTTTAGATACAACAATTTATTGTTTGGTCCTATAAAGTTAATTAAGTCATATATAGCGGTCTATTAGGACCCTTAATATTGTTGGTATCTTATAAGTCAGATTTTGTAGTAGTGCATCCACTACCACCTCCTCTATTTATATACTATTTTCACGTCCTCTACAACCATCACTTCGCTACAACCATCGTTGACCACCGACCACCATCGTCTATCATTCTCACAACCACCACCATCGACGTCCACCTCCACCGACGTCCACCTCCACCACCATCAGCTACCTAACACCTCTACTTCCTCCACAATCACCACCTCCACATCCATATCCACCACTTCAGCTGCCACCATCCACCATCTGATAACTACAACAAAATTAGGTTTATAGGACGCTTAAAGTGTTCAAGTATCCTAATAGTGTGCCTTATAAGACTTAATTTTATAGGATCAAATTATAAAGCGTTCTATCTTACAATAAGTTATTGGTCGTTTTTAGGTACTTTTTGAAATAAAGTGCCGTATTAGTTATTTTATAGGATATTTTTGAAAAGTGTACTATAAACCCATGTTTTTATAGGACATTTTTTTGCTTATAGAACATGTTTTCAAGAAACGTCCTAAAAATAGCTAATATGACAACCTAAACACTTTAGGTGTCCTATAAAGTGATTTTATTGTAGTGTCTACATGTCCACCACCGTCAACCAACTTCTCGTATGCTAAAATCACCACCTCATCTTCCACCACCACAAGTAACCATCATATAAAATCATTACTTAGCGTTGTCTGACCTAGACAACAGATAATTTGTCTTGTCTGCTCTTGTCCTTGTTCTGCCATGTCTACATCCTAAATACCGTCTTAGAGTATTAATGTGTAAAAAGTTCCTCCATTTGATTATCTAAATAGTTTTAGTCATCTACTGCAGAGGTATTTTTATAAAGCTCTTTGATAAATAGGGAAGCTTCTTTTTCCCCTGATCATTTTCTATTCCAAACCCTTTCAATTTCCCTAAACTGCCTAAACTTAGGCCAACCTCCTGCAACTACTAAGGGGCCGTTTACCAAACATTTATTCGGTAAGTGCTTACTAGTAAAATTTAACATTATTATTTATTTACCGGGTAAGATTTTAGTCCACCAAAACAACATCGTATACAACGATTTACCCGGTAAGTGTTTACCGTGGTAAGAGTCGTCGCTCTCAATTACAGGGTAAAACTCTTGGTCCTTGTTTCGCTCTTACCGGATAAGATTCTTCTTCCTTACCATATTCATCCAGTAAGGTAACGTGACTTGATAAGCACTTACCCGGATAAGCGTTTGGTAAACGGCCCCTAAGTGTTTCATGCGAGTTTGTAAGGAAAAAATTGTGACATCAAACAAACTAATTGAACTGTAATATATATAGGGGTATAAACTAGTCGAGTAGTAGGTTATTCGAGCTCAACTTGGAAAAATTATACCAGGCTCGAGCTTGACTTGAGCTCGAATAACTTTTTCAATGTAGGGCTGGAGCGTGATGCTCATTTATGGGATTTTACTCGCGGTCGATTAACTCGTTTATTGGCTCGAGATTGATAACTTTTATATTTTTATTGTATTATTTATGAACATATGAATATGTTGGGCTCGAAAAACTATATGCTCAAATGGCTTGGCTCGACTCAACTCGAAATATTTAATCGAGTTTTCGAACGACTCCAACCAAACCTTGGTTTTATGAAGCTCGATTAATTAAGTTGAACGATAGCTAATTTGTGTTTGAGAACGACTTGAGCTCTAGTAAACGAGCTCGAGTAGCTCGTTAAAAGATCGACTCATTTATACCCCTAAATATATACATATATATATATATGTGTGTGTGTGTGTGTGTGTTGTGTGTGTGTGTGAAAGATCATGTGAGAAGGAGGATTAAGGTGAGAAGCGTAAGAAGGGATCTGGATCCTTGATTACCTTTAATATCAAATCCACCCATGAATCACACTTGATACGAGGATTGATTCGGTGCATCTTATCCTAATATGGATCCATGGGTGGAGATCCATTCTTATGCTTTCCATCTTAACTCTTTTTCTAACTGGAACCCAACCCCAACCCTATTTAAAAAGTGTATGACCTTTTTGCACATTTTTTGAACTCTGTAAAAATGGTATATTTTTAAACGACTAGAACCTTGTAAAAAAGCGACTTGTTTGCCAAAAGGATGTAAAAGTTTCACATTTTTTATACAGTTTCTTAGCAAAACAGTATAAAAAGATGTGAGTTTTTTACACAGTTCATTACTAATACCATGTGAAAACTTCCATTTTTTACACGGTATCGCCTAAGAACCATGTAATTTAACTTTTTTTTTTTTTTTTTTTTGCATTTTTGTATTAACCAAGATTGAGAATGCGATTATACAAATCCATATTAAATATCAATAAACTAATTGTAACATATCCCATTTTAAGGGATTAATTTAAAAATATGTATCTATTAATGTTTAGGATAGACATGTTCTAAAGATAAGTGTAACGGTTGTTGTGTCAAATGCCATTATTTATATAAAAAACTTTATATAATTAAATGTTGTATGTTAGTTTCATAAACTAATAATAATATAAATGGGGTTAAAAAAAATAAAGAAAGAAAGAAAAAGAAAAGAACACGAGAGAAAGAGGGAGAGAGCGGCGATGCCGCTTAACGGTTTTGAAGATTTGATTTTAAGATGCTCTCTCTATGTTTATGCTTTAATTTCTTGAGTATTGATGATTAGAACGGTTTATGGCCGGATTGATGGGGTCTTTAAGTCACCAAAGATGACCTAACGGCTGTCAATGGTGGACAGTCGTTCTGTGCGGTGATGTGTGGGTATTTTCATCGAAAATACCTACTACTATGATGTGTATAAGCCCCAATTGAGTCCCAATGTCATTCATATTGATTTCAGAAGCATTAAATCCTAAAACCTAGCAAAGAAAGGGGAAAAATTAAGTGTTATGAGGTCTCAGGTTCAAATCCAAAGAGGAATAAAAATTCTCTTGTGGCCAGATTAATAAAAAAATTAAGTGTTATGGGCTATCTGCAAAGCAGGTGGTCGTCCGGGGATTAGTCGGCTCGCATAACGGGTTGGATATCCAGATTAATAAAAAAAAATTAAGTGTTATAAAAGGTGAAGATATTTAATATAGTTTGTTTTATAGGAACAATAAGATGAGTTCAAGTGAAAAAAAATTCATCCAAAAATGTTTTTGATAGGAGATTTAAGTTTAAATTCAAAATAGTTGACTATTTTCTCAAAAGTCAAACTATTTTGCTTAAAACTCAAATTTAATGGTTTTACGCAAAATTAGAGGTGGAAATTCAAAGGATATAGTTAATATAGATATATAAAGGTGTTTCAATGATCAAATCAACATTTCAAACGGATTATGATGGATTTTCAAAGTTAAACAACGTTTACTTTCGGTTTGAATCAAAATGTGGAAAATATATGTATTAGCTTGAGTTTAAGTGATATGAATACAAGAACCTTCTAAACATAATTTAAAATGTATATTAACTATGTTTTGAAAAATAGAATGCAAACCAACAGTTTTAAAATAAATAAGAGCAAGTGATCGGATTAAGTTAAATTGGTGTTGGAAATTGTAAATATTATATAAAATTACTCGTAACTCGGATTTAGACATGTAATATCTTTTTGAAACCGTTGAGGGGTCTTCTACAATCGATATGTAAGTATGAGGTTATTCGTGCTGTAAATAGGGCAAAAATCAAATTTAACAGAGCTAGTCCATTTTATGACGAGAAAGAGAATCAATCTTCAAATATTTGTATGAAATTGGTCTTAAATCCATTTGGGGTGTTTCTTAATGGATTGGAAGGGTAAAAGGGTTGTGTAAGTATTTTGTTTAGAGTTATTATATTGATTTGGTGATCATACATTGTTTGTGTAGGTAGAAAGATGAATGCACAAGCCCGGTGAAAATAGGTTTAACTTAATCTAGTAAAGGTGAGTTCAAATAGTCTTAAAACCAGCTACATGTCAAATCTATGTAGTTTACATAGTCGATTCACATTGCTTGTGTTTAAACTAGTACTGTCATTGAAAAATGCATGATTTAAATGGTTTTATGAAAGATAGTTATTTATGTTTTATACAAAGTAATTTGAAGAAACGAGCATGCTAAAACGTTTTGAGGAACTATACAAAATGCACTTTGATGTATTGATACTTGATGTTT